GGGGGTAAAGGGCGACCGGTGTGTAAGGCTGACAACCTCGCCGCCATCTGTGAGCCGATTGTCTTGAAAATGTGGGAGCCTCGACGTCTCACAACCCTATGGGGCTCCATGGCCTGTTACAGGGATAGCTTTACTTACTTTTTTTAAAAATCTCTGTACGTGAGTAAGCGTGGGCCTATGAGATCAAATAACACTACCGCGCTTCGAATCTCTGCAGGGTAGAATGTTTCTTTTACCGATCCTTCCAAACCGTGACACACCCCGGCCACTGTCCAATTAGCATCGAAGCGACTGGAGCCTGAGGCTTATGATTCATCTCCATCTAGTGCCAAATTACGAACACAGCAAGCCATGCTTTCACTCATCAAACACATATATGTCATCCGGGATAGCCGTTGGCAACACGCCGAGCAGGTGTGCGCAGCGGCAACGTTCTCAACGCGTACTAGATGGGTGCCCCCAGTCCGGCCTGGATTCTGGCTATTCTGACCGAAGCTTCTCGTGATTCACCTCATCCCTTCTCTCAGATTCTCGATTAACCCACCATTGCCTCCTTCCAAACCGTTTAACCTTTACAGATCACCGACACACAGACTAGTGTTCTCAGTGTGTGTCAGTCTCCATTAGTCGTATCCTGGTAATGGCTTCTAACAGTAGAGAGTCTTGAGCTCTAAACTTTGTCCCGCTTACAACCTCTCTACACGGACCAACAGAAAACACAGCTCTTCTATTGTTGCATATGTGTATGTTGTGGGTTATACCAACAATGGCCACTGTTTACAGAGTCTCCGCGCAGCAACGGTTCTGTATGCCATAATAAAGGGTGAGGCGCAGAAACTTCCTTTTTGTGAAGACGCATTGTGAAGGGAGGGGAGGTCGCAGAAAAGTGGGGATAGGCTCGGCGAACGCAGCAGTCACGGAAGTTTCTGTCTAATACCCCTCAGTAGGAAACATGAGGTGGACGGGTGAGCAGCGTGCGTTTGCTGTCGAAGCCTATTTTTCGAACAACCATTCCTACGTGGCGGTGCAGCGTGCGTTCCGTACTGACTTTGGAATTAAGCCCAGAGGTCAGGTTCCCGACCGGAAATCGATTGTTTTCTTGGTAGAGAATTTTAGGACAACCGGGAGTATGGGGAAAAAGTCATCAGGACGACAACGGACCGTTACGACGCCAGAAAATGTGGAGGCAGTTCGACAGTCGATTTTGAGATCCTTTTCGAACCAGCTCTTGAAGAAATGCATCTAGGAAATGTCTGGTTCCAACAGGATGGTGTCACGGCCCACACAGCCCGAGCTTCGATGACAGTTTTGAGGGCAAAGTTCCCCGGACGGCTCATCTCGCTTCGAGGTGACATCCCGTGGGCAGCGCACTCACCTGATCTAACGCCCTGTGATTTGTTTTTATGGGGATACCTCAAGGTAGAGGTTTTTAAACATCGCCCCACAAACCTCCTTCAGCTGGAGAATGTTATTCGGCAGGAAGTAGCCCAAATTCCGGTGCACATGTTGGAACGTGCAGAGGGGAACTTCAGAAAACGGTTGCCTCAGTGCATAGAGAACGGTGGCCACCACCTTCAAGATATTTTGTTTAAAACTACATGATTTAAAACTTTAAAGTATGTTCTTTCATTAGCTAAACATAAATTTCATTTATCAGTAATAATTTTTCTTTTATT